TATTGCAACACCTGTACATAATGAAGGTTTTTAATATTGTAGCAAAATTTGAAATTTAAAATAAACTTTCACTAAAAGAAATGCCTTTACTTAATTTTTATTTAAACTCTTGGTTTTCTAAGCCATGGAAAAATTTAAAGATAATTTCTTCATCACAACACGGTTGAAAGTCATTGAGAATCGCTGGGTTAGAATGATCCATGGGTATTCGTAACAATTGTTTGTTTAAATTGTGTTCTAATGCCCCTGTGAAGAACTCTCTCTATGAATAAACATGTATAAAATAATACCCATGTATGATAATAGTCATTGCAGAGTTGGAAACACCATACAGTCAACCAAAGAAAGGATTATTTACAGTATGATGCACTTGCCTACGGAAACATCATGTAGCTGTAAAAGGGGACAAGAAAGAAAAAGAAAGGAAGGAAGGGAGGGAGGGAGGGAGGGAGAGAGGGAGGGAGGGAGGGAGGGAGGGAGGGAGGGAGGGAAGAAGGAAGGAAGGAGAAAGGAAGGAGAGAGAGAGGGGGGGCATACATACATGTTAAGGTCACCAGTGCTAGACCAAAATTCCTTATTAGTAGTAAGTATTAAAGTGTTGTGCTGAAAAATTATGTTCACATCTTTCTGTGGCTTAGAAAACCAAGGGTTTAAATAAAAATTAAGTAAAGACATTTCTTTTAGTGAAAGCTTATTTTGATTTTTTTTGCTTGTTTTTTTTTGTTGTTGTTGTAGTTGTTGCTTTTTGTTTTTTGAGACAAGGTTTCTCTGTGTAGCCCTGGCTATCCTGGAACTCACTCTGTAGACCAGGCTGGCCTCAAACTCAGAAATCTGCCTGCCTCTGCCTCTCAAGTGCTGGGATTAAAAGCGTGCGCCACCACTGCCCGGCTATTTTAAATTTTTTAAGTGAAAGTATTGTACTTGTTTCCAGGTCCCAAGGATTCGTAGGGAACATCTTTAAATATACATGTAGTAGGGATTTATTATCCTGACAAGCCCATATAAAAGACACATAATCCAGGTATTTTGCTTACAAGCCCTAAGCCTGGATCAGACAGATCTGGGGCTATTCTGACTTACTCCCCAGCTGTAGGTCTCTTGTTGTTTCTCCTGGCCATGTGTTTCTGGTTCATGGTGGTTTCTTCATCCTCCATCCTCCACCCCCCCCCACTTTCTTTCTCCTTTCCCCACTTGAACCTCCAGTCCCATCTTTCTCCCTCCACTGTTCAATCACAGGCTCCAGTCTTTTATTGACCAGTCAAATTGGGGAGAAAGTTCACATGGCATCACTGTGAATACAAGAGGATCTGCTTGTCTCGGGCAACCACATCTTGAGGAACCAGTATTCAGCATTGGAATACAAGCAGCATTTGACCAACCCACTACATATACAGGGTAGCTCCTCCCCTCAAATAAATCTACCAGAAGATGAGAGATGTTTGAAGAAAGATATAAACTTTATTTAAAGCTTCTAAAAGTATGCAGATATATAAAAATATATTCTTATGTACTATTGAGAAAATTCAGTACAATATAGATATGATTTCCCCATTTATTTATAAATGTAATATAATTTTTATTAAAATTATGCTGAGTTTTTCTATTATCTGAAAGCTGACATAGTTAAATGTGAGGGTTTTGGGGTGATTTTAAATGTCATTTGGGCTGGGATGGTGGCTCTCAGCTGTAATCCCAGGATTCAGAAGAGAGGAACAGGAAAAGTAATTCAAATTCCAGACTAATCTATAGAGTGAGACCCTGTTGCAGGAAAACAAAATCTAAAAGTCATTGGGGAACACACAGAAAGTACTCAGCAATTTATTTAGGTTATAAAAGTTAGTTCTCCATTTATCAAAATTACAGATCAAAACTGCCTTTCTTTCTTCAACCTTTTAAGTTCTCCTGAAGTTTTATTATATTTTTAAGCCTAATACATTTTATAAATTATTTCTGAGGGGCTTTTTAAAAGTTGGAATTCCATTACAAGTTTTAATGTTTAAGCATTTTGTTTACTAATATACATAACAGTGTTCGTTTTCTTTTTTTTTTTTCTTTTTTTTTGTTTTTTTTTTCGAGACGGGGTTTCTCTGTGTAGCCCTGGCTGTCCTGGAACTCACTCTGTAGACCAGGTTAGCCTCGAACTCAGAAATCCGCCTGCCTCTGTCTCCTAAGTGCTGGGATTAAAGGCGTGCACCACCATCGCGCCCAGTCAGTGTTCATTTTCTATAGGCATTGCAAAAAGACTTATGAACAAAAATCCTTTTCAAATTCTTAAATTGTTTTCATAGATATAATTAACTTAACAAATACGTGGGGCTTAAATACTCCCAGTAGTACTGCACTTGCTTAAATAAGCTATGGGTTTGAGCCAGCATTACAACAGAACATATCATATATAAGTGTTAATGATTGAAATCTGCCCCACTAAATTTAATATAGGGAAGGCCATACATCTAGTACCTACAAATGTACCTGTAGTGGTCTGACGAATGACCACCATATATTTAAATATTCCAATTCTAGTTGGTAGAACTGTTTGGGAAGGATTAGGCCATGCTAGAGGAGGTGTATCACTGTCTCTGTCTCTGTTTCTGTCTCTCTCTGTCTCTCTCTGTCTCTCTCTGTCTCTCTCTCTCTTTCTCTCTTTCTCTCTCTTTCTCAAGCTGTGTCCCACAGTGATGGTCATGGACTCTAATGCTCTGAAACCGTAAGCCTCAAATAGACTTTGTCTTATCACAGCAATAGAAACATAACTAAGGTAAAATGAGGTCCCATGAGTGAACCCTGATCCAGTGTGACTGGTGTTATGGAAGGGGACATTAGGACACAGGCATAGAAGGAATGTCAAAACTCAGCGAGAAGATACCATGGACAAGCTAAGAGGGATCTTGGAATATAACCAACCCCAACAGCATCTTGCTGTTGAATTTCCCTTCTCTAGACAGTGAGGAAATAGATTCCTGTTGTTTAGGCCCCTCCATTATTTCTTGCTATGGTGGAACTAGTAAGGGACATCCTGACTCTCAATGGATGCATATGAATGTGGCTTCATCCGAGGGTCTTTTGAGGTCAGGAATTTTTTCCTATTCTTAGGTTGCTCTTAGTAACACTGGAGTCACACTAGTTTTTATTTTATTTTTGCTAGAAAAATTCTCATGAGGATTCTGCTTGTCTTAGTTGGGGTTCCTGTTGCTGAGATAGAACACTATGGCTGAAAGCAATGTGAGGAGGAGAGGAGCTGAGAAGAAATGAACGAAGGATTTAAATTCGCAGTGGACAGCAGCAGAACTACAACAGACCAGCAGGGTGGTGAAGGCACATACTTTTCATCTCAGCACTTGAGAGGCAGAGGCAGGCAGATTTCTGTGACTTTGAGGTCAGACCTCTCTGTGAATTTGAGGCCAGATTGGTCTACAAAGGGAGTTCCAGGACAGCCAGGCAGGGCTACACAGAGAGACTCTGTCTCAAAACCCCAACAAAACAAACAAATAAAAAACAAAACAACAACAAAACCCCTGCAAACCAAAAACCAAAAGAAATGACTGTAAAATTGTAAACAATCAAAAGGGGAAAAAAATCTAAAAAGCCTGACAGTGATAAGCCTCTGATAGAGTACTTCAAAGTCTGAAGCAGGTGCAGAGAATATGAGGCCTTGTCTCAAAAAAAATTCATAATAATAGGAAGCAAGCTGTGGGAGGCTGGATGGTTGTATCCACAGGTATTGCCATATAGTCTCTATATTTTATGAATAAGATGTGTATTATGTTGTTTAAGTCTTGGGTGTTGATTGGCTTTATTTTTTGAGTCAGAATTTCTCTCTGTAGACCTGGCTGTCCTGGAACTAGCTCCATAGACCAGGATGCTCTTGAACTCAGAGATCTGTCTGCCTCTGCCTCCCAAGTGCTGGGATTAAAGGTATGTGCCACCACTGCCCAGCAAGATGCTTATTATGACAAAGTTTTAACAGAAGAATAAATATTGGATGGAGGGGCACACGCCTCTAATCCCAGCATTCAGGAGGCAAAGGCAGGAGGATTGCTGTGAGCTCAGGGCCAGCCTCCCCTCCACCTCCCAATAAACAAAAGAACCCCCAAACTCCTGTATTCCTGTATTTTCAAATTGTATGTCATTGTCCATTATCTTTGGCTGTGACTACACTTATCCCATTCTTAAAATGGTTTTTTGAGAGTACAATCTCCATCAGTCTATACGTGTATCCTTGAGGGATACCATTAAAGAAGTACAATTATCTTTTTCTGAGTAGTTTATGCCATGTGAGAAAGTGCACAACCCCCAACATAAGGCAGTCATCACCCGAAAAACACGAAGTAAAGAGAGAGTTTTTGTTGTTGTTGTTCTGAGCCACATCTGACGTCAAGGAATAGCTTTTGAGTGACCTCGGGCAAACAACCTCTCAGTGGGTTGAGAAACGAACCAGGAGCTCATTTTGGAAGCCATTAATGAGACTACCGGTGCTGACACTGATCACCAAGCAGCTAGCTAGGGTCAAAAAAACTTTCCTCAGTACTCAAATTCTAAGAGACAAAGCTGGGACCAAGGCGGAACCATGTCGTCCACGTTAGCTTCTAGATACAAGAGTTAGTTTTCCTGGTTGACTGTAGTGGAAAACCACTTGGGTTTCCCCTTCTTTGTAGCCCGGAGCCGTGGGATGATGCTTCGAGGACGTTGAAGATTGTCCTAGATAAGCCAGGCAAAACCAAACCAAAACAAACAAAACAAAACAAAACAAAACAAAACAAAACAAAAAACAAAAAACAAAACATAAAAACCCAAAACCCCTAAACCCTAAAATAAACTCTTTGGACTACAAGTCCCAAAATGCAATGCTCGGGTTAGAACGTTATCCCCCCAAGAGCCATTAAGCGGCCCATCATGCAACACTCTTCGAAGTAGGCGGGCTCCGTGAGGAGACGGCCTATTGTTTCCTGGACAACTCCAATCCCGCGACAGACTGCACTTCCACTTCCGCTTAGGAAAAGACAGTCTACGCGTGCGTCTCTGTGGCGTCTTTCTCCCGCGCCAGCACGAATCGAGGTTTTGTGTGGCAGCAGCGCAGTCGTGGGCCGCAGCGTCTCTCATTTGAACGCCGCGAGCGGCAGCTTCTCGTCTGTGTCCTGACCTCGAAGCCTAAGAGCAAAGCGGCGAGATGACGGATCGGTACACCATCCACAGCCAGCTGGAGCACCTGCAGTCCAAGTACATCGGCACGGGCCACGCCGACACCACCAAGTGGGAATGGCTTGTGAACCAGCACCGGGATTCCTACTGCTCTTACATGGGTCACTTCGACCTCCTCAACTACTTCGCCATTGCTGAGAATGAAAGCAAAGCGCGCGTGCGCTTCAACCTGATGGAGAAAATGCTGCAGCCCAGCGGGCCGCCGGCGGACAAGCCCGAGGAGAACTGAGGCGAGCACTTCCCAGTCTTCCCCGTCTGCCAGCTGTGGACCGATCCTCCTTACTCTTGCTTCTTGACCATTCTGTCTCGCCTGACCTGCATACCTGTGGACGATTCCGAACAAGTCATCGAGAGACTGTCGGGTACCCTGGGAACTGTGCAGAAGGAGTGATCCCAGAATCGGCAAGCGAGGGAGACGACTGCATGGGAGTGATGACGCTTTTCGAGTCTGCTTTTCGATAGTTGATGTCTTCTTGCCTTCTTCTTCTTTTTTTTTTTTTTTTAAAGTAAAGTTTAGGATTTGCTCTATCTTTTGGTTTGGGTTGCTGTGTTTTTTTGGGAGGTTATTTGAAGAGGGTTCTGTGGATTAAGGTTTCATGAGAGTACAAATGGGAAATGGGGGCAGAAGCACAGGGCAAGCGTTTATTGTCAAATCCTTAAGTCATCATACACACTTTTATGATATTCCCTTGCTTCGATTTTCTTCATGCCTACAGTGTCTGGTCCCAAAGAAACCTTGAAGGATGGAGTTTTTCCACATCCCTTTCCTGACCATTTCTACAGTCTTTGCTGTCATTGACCTCACTTCCCTTTATGCTGTACCCTTCACCACCTTTTCTTGATAGTCTATGTGTCTTCAGAAATGACACACTGGCAGACAAGTGGTGTCATGTCCCCACCCTGTTCTGCAGCCCCACCCCCAATATTCACCAGAGTAATTTCCAAAGGTTTGAGGGCATACATTTTGCCAGCTTGAGTTTACGATTTTAAATACCATGCTTACAGTGCTACTTTACTGAGATGATGATATTTGAGAACAGATTTTAAGGAATCAAGAGAAGTAGCTATGCAGAGCACGGGAAGGTGTTTTCCATCAAAAAGGCCTGCCAGTGCAGTGGACCCAAGAGCAGCAGTGTATTTGACTTACTGAAGGAAAATCATAAAAGCAGTGATTCACCAGTGTTCCAGCATGATGGTGCACACCCTTAATCCCTGCACCCAAGAGGCTGGGGAGATCTCGAGTTCAAAAAGAGTGTGGTGATGCACACTCAGTCCAGGTGCTTTCCAGGCAAAAGCAGGAGGATCTGAAGTTTAAGGCCAGCCTGGTCTACAGATCGAATTTCAGGACCATCAGGGCTACACAGAGAAACCTTATCTTGAACCCTGTCCCCCACCCCTCCACACAAAAGCAGTATGTTGGGAAGGGATGAGCAATAGAACACCAGGACAAGAGGAAGTGGAAGATGGTTGATGATTCAGAAAGATTTTATGTTGGATTATAGCTATTGGCATTCAGCAGAAGAGAAAACTGAATAGTATACTTTTAGTAATTTATTTAAAAATAACAGTATCTGGCAGTGGTGGCACATGTCTTTAATCCCAGTGGGGAGGCGGGCAATCAGATCCATGAGTTCAAGGCCAGCCCGGTCAACATTGTTCAATTAGAGTTATTGGGCCCTATTTCAAACAAACAGAAGTAACAGTAAAGAAATTCAGGAGAGCTGGCTCTGGAGGTAAGAGTTCTTACTGTGCCAATTTAGGAACCTGAGTTCAAATTTCTTCTACCAGTGCAAAAGCCCAGGTAGAGCTCTATGGGCATACAACCCTAGTACTGTGGAGAAGATAGCTGGGGCTTTGCGGCTGCCTGCTTAGCTCCAGGTTCAGATAGACTGTGTCTCAAGACAATAAGGGGAGGACGGACTGGAGAGATGGCTACATGGTAAGAGCTAGCTGGCTGTGCCTCCAGAGGACTCTGGCTTGTTCCTCAGCACCCACATGGTGGCTCACCACTGTAACTCCAGTCCCAGGGGATCCACTAGTATTTCTGGCCTCTGTGGACACCAGACAAAAGTGCTGTACATACATGCAGGAAAACATAAGTGTACATATCAAATCTTTAAAAGAAAAAAAAAAGGAGGAAACTTCTTTTTGCAATAGATGGAAACCATTACAGAAAAGCACAACCAGTCAATGCAGAGTTGTGGGGTCCAATCCCAACCCATTTGCCTACCTTTCCCCTAAGGCTTGGTCTACTTCTGAAGAGGAGGCAGAGGTACTGTTAAGTCCCGGAGGATCAGGGAGTGTGCTGTAATACTCATTGTAAGACTGATCCATAAAGTCTCACCAACTCGGCAGCCTAAAGATGAGCTGAGCAAGAACAACAACAACGACCATCCTAACGTGGACAGGGAAAGGCTGTTCTCAGGAGCCCTCAACTCGATACAGCTGCAGGCAACTGAGGGGTACTGAGACGCGAGACAGCCTTTCCCAGGAAAGACCATGGTATCTAATCCTAATGGTGAACTCTGAAATCTTCATAGAAGTAACATTACAGACCGAGCACGTTATATTCATGTGTTTAGGACACACAAACACACGTATGTCACAGTTAATGGAAACGTGGCCATAGATGTGAAAGAGCAATGGAGAGTGTATGGGAGGGCCTGGAGAGAGGAAAGGGAGGGGGAAATGATATATATTATAATCTCAAAAAAAAAAAAAAAGAAACAAAAGAAACAAGCTAATGGAATAACGGAGTGAAAAGATGAACATCTCAGGCTTCTGGTGTGCACAGATGCACACACCTGGACCACACGAGTGCAGACACCACGCACAAATGCTGCAACACTACATGATGCAACACTACATGATGCATTTTAATGAAAAGTAACTTTCAAAACCAGAGTTTACTGAGAAGAGCAGCTTTGAAAATACACCTTGACACAAGTCTTCAGTATCTCACTTTAACAGACATCGACTGGATTCTCAAACTGGTTTCGACCTTCCAACTGTCGGGGTCAGAAGTTTGCTTTTAAAGATACAGACTTAAAATTTTTGTTTTGTTTCATTTTCCTGTGTTGGGATTAGAACTCAGGACCTTGGGCATGTTGGGCAACTGTGATAACCATTGAGCAATAGCTTCAACTTCCAAATGCTTTATTATTATTATTATTATTATTATTTTTAAAAGCCCTATATTTATTCACTTACTTGTGTGTGTGTTGCTTCTGTGTAGAGATCAGTTTCTTCTTCCACCATGTGAACCCAGAGAGAGAACTCATCACCAGAGAGGGGCCCCCAAATTCATTTTTTAGTAATTTGTGGTTTGGAAAAGATAATTGGCCTTTTCAAATAGCTTCCCATATCCTTTTTCTTTTGTTGTATTAGATTTCTTTTTTTTAAAAAATAGTTTATTTTTTCTCAAATCGTAATTCATTCACACAAGGGTTATAAACACAGAAAGGCAGGATGTGGGGAAGTCCGGGATGACACTGGAGTGTGGGTGTTCAGGGGGAATACAGATATCTTTCAGAACCAGGTATCGGCTGGGTGAAGGTTCAGGGGACAAGTCACTATGACTCTGCCTATGACTCACTTGTCCTTATCTAAGTTGGTATTATCTGCCAAGGCTACCTATTTACAAGGTCTATGACTACTCAGGCTGATAAATTTCCACAAAAGCTGCCTGTTGACATTAGCTTATAGCCATCTGTTTCAATGTTCTTCCACTGAGACCCAAGACTTGGTGTTAGTATACATGTATGACAGGCCTATTGCTGATTTTAGGCCTATGGCTGGTTTTAGGCCTTCAGTGTGTAATCAGGGCTGCCCCTGATATCTCCTCCCTTCTCTAAGTATAGAAAGGCTGTGGTGATTCTAATCTTGCAAAGGCAGGGATAGAGGCCTGACCTCCAGTAATTGAAGGGGACCTTGTAATGGCTCCAGTCCCCCTGTCATTGTCCAGTGAGGCATGAGGGCCATACCCATCCCGATGTTTTTTTTCCTGGAGAGAGGATACTTTTGACATCAACCCCTAAGCAGTCAGGCTTGTCCTTCAGGGAACCCAGAGAGAGATTTTTTATTTTTATTTATATTCCCTTGCAGTGCTTAGCCTTGCAGCCTAAGCAAGATTTCAGATCGCCTGACAGAGGGGGTTCTGGGTGGCCCCTCTCCGCTTGGTCTAGGGGCAGAAGTCCCCCCTTTTAGGTTGGGTGGAGATGGGTTTTGGAAACACCTTGTATAAAGTAACAACCTCATCTTGAGTCTCGTGGTCCACCGTAGCTAACTAATGATAATGTATCTGAATAGGTTTTGCTACCAAATTATTTATCTGTTGTATCACAGAGTTAGTCCACCTATTAGAGAGCCAGGGACCAGCAGAAAAAAGCAAAAAGAACCCAAATAATGGTCCCAAGATGGGAGGAAATAGGGTTGACAACCTTGGAGAGGCTGAAAACCAATTCTTGTACCAGCCTTCATCTGTCTCTTTCTCTCTCTGATTTTTCTTAGGGCCTTCACTACCTGTTTCATGCTCTCTTTAACCCTCCTTGTCTTGTCTATGTAAAGGCAAATTCATTTTTTAGTAATTTGTGGTTTGGAAAAGATAATTGGCCTTTTCAAATAGCTTCCCATATCCTTTTTTTAAAAAAATGATTTATTTTTATTTTATGTGTATTGGTGTTTTGCCTGCATGCGTGTCTATTTGAGGGTGTCAGATCCCCTGGAACTAGAGTTACAGATGGTTGTGAGCTACCATGTGGATGCTGGGAATTGAACCTGGATCCTCTGGAAAAGCAGTCAGTGCTCTTAACTGCTGAGTCATTTCTCCATTCCTGTCCATATTCTTTATTGATTCTTTAGGATAACCCAGAATTTGTAGCTTTAAATATCAATTACAATATGGAATATAAAACTAAACTAATGAACTTGATGCTGTTACTTTAGAATTCACTCACCTGTTTTTGAACTATGAAATTTACCCCTTTGTATCCAGGTATTAGAATATCTACAATCAATTTAGACAGCATTAGTACTGAGCTTCAAATAGGCTTCCAAATGATGACACATTTATGTGATAAAAACATATGGTCTTTGGTAATCATCTCGTGTCTCATCAGGAAAGCGTTCCGGTATTGAGAAGCTGCAGAACTTGATGTTCTTTAATTTCAGTCTTTGCTTTAAAAGCTTGAAATCTCACCAATAGTAAATATGTAATTTTCCTCGCAGTACAAGGCCCATTTGATTCATTCTCAAGAAAAAAATGTGCCCAAGTCTGAAAGCTGAACTTGTGACTCTGAAGTTGAGTGCTCACCTAGTGTGCTTGAGGCCCTGGGTTTGCCCCCCAGCACTGGGAACATAACAGAACCAGCAGTAAAACCAGAGTTGTTTATTTCAAAGGAAAAATGGAGTCTTGGAAGAAGTTCTGCTCTCAGCACAGGGGTTTCCCTTGAGGAAGTCAGCATCCTTTGAAGACAGCAGGGGGCTATATCACGATAGAGCAGGTCTTTAGGGGCAAAATTGTCA